AAAATTTTCGAAAATTGCAATTTCGATAATGAACCCTACTAAATATATATAAAAATTTATTTAGAATAATTATTTTTAAGATTTTAAGAAGCTTTAAGTTGCAAATATTACATCTATAAATAATGTTACGCAAAAGGGTGAATAAGGAGGTCAAGATAACAAAGGGAAAAAGAGACAAGTGGGGGATACAATATATACGAATAAATTTGAAAATAACTTTAAAATGTTAACTTTTATATAAAAGTTAACATTTCGCATGGGAGCATCTTCTCATAACAAGTTCACCTTAGGTATATTCCTAGACTTGTCAAAAGCATTTGACACCGTTAACCATCAGATTTTATTAAAAAAACTAAAATATTATGGAATAAGCCACGAATACCATAAATGGTTTACCAGTTACTTAACTGATTGAAAGCAGTTTATTTCTCTTAATGATGGCTTTCAGACAAACAAACTTAAAATATCATGTGGGGTTCCACAAGGCTCCATCTTAGGTCCGTTGCTATTCTTAATCTATGTCAACAATCTATATAAAGCATCAAGTACTATGTCTACTATTATGTTTGCAGACGACACCACTTTATTCTATTCTCACAGTAATATTGTCTCTCTATTTCAAGTAGCAAATAATGAACTAGAACAAATATCAAACTGGCTTTTCGCTAACAGCTTATCTTTAAACACTGATAAAACTAAGTTTTCCTTATTCCATTCTAAACGAAAGTTTCAATCTATTCCAAAATCCTTACCAATGCTATATATAAATAACATCAATATTGAGCGCTCATTCACAAATAAATTACTTGGTATTTTAATAGACGAAAACTTATCCTGGAGAGCTCATATAAATCATATTAGCAATAAAATCTCAAGAAGTATTGGCATCTTATATAAAACCAGACAAATCTTAGACAAATCTACACTAACTCAACTATATTTTGCATTCATAAATAGTTATTTATCTTATGGCAATATTGTTTGGGGTAGTACAAATAAATCTAAACTCGACTGTCTCCTTAAACAACAGAATCATGCAGCACGCATTATTCATTTTCAAAATCGCTTCACAAATGCTAAACCTCTTCTAAAAAGCATGAGGGCACTTGACATTTATGAGTTAAATATTTTCAAAATTACACAATTTATGTTTCAACATCAGTCAAAAAAAACGCCGAAGGTTTTCGAAAATATTTTCCATACAACATTAAACCGATACAACACGCGATCTACCGGAAGATTTAAAAAACCTTTCCGTTCATCAAAACTTACGAGCTTTGCCATTTCCTATCGTGGCCGAATGCTATGGAACCATTTTACAAGTCTGAGTGGTAAACTTAAAGAAGCCAATACCTCTCAAAAATTTAAAAAGAACATAATCGAACTTATTGCCAATCACGATTCTTTACATGACTTTTTCGAACAATACACGATTATTTCCAATTTTTATTATCAAAGGTTACTGATGAAAAGACTTTATCTTCTTCAGGTTCTCCGGTCTTGTAACTATTATAAATAATGAAATGTACTTGTATTTAATATTTCTAAATATTTTACGGAAATTATCTTTAATTGTAAATGGTTGCTTGACAAAAATTGAAAAAAAAAAAAATGGTTAGAATTATTTTGTTCTATATCCACATTTTTGAGTTTTGAGTTAAAACGATTTAATATGCAAAAACTTTAGGAGACGGCATATAAAAAGATTTTTATTACTTATGTTTTCTCCAAAACTTTTTTGATTTTAACTTAAGTTTTTATATAGTAGAAAAACATTATTTTGAGGTACATGACACATTCAATAACTTGATTTTTTCAAAAAGTAGAGATAGAATAAAATAATTCTAACCTCGCGATTTTTTAAGTTATTTATTTTCAAACTTAGTTTTATATATTTGTAGTAAATGTAGTTTATTTATGTATATATATATATATATATATATATATATATATATATATATATATATATATATATATATATATATATATATATATATATATATATATATATATATATATATATATATATATATATATATATATATATATATATATATATATATATATATATATATATATAGTATAATATATTATACTTTTAACGTTTTTAACTATTATTTTTATTTTTTTTAAAGCCTTTACTTTCTACTTCAAAAGTTTTCGTTTTTTTTTCTTTTTCCAAAATTTAGAAGTGATTAGTGAACTATAGTGAAAAAATAGTAAGCAATAGTGATCAAATGTTCATTCATTCAAAAGTGAAATTAGCGTGATTACTATATTATTTTATTATAATACTTAATTTTTACTGTTATTAATTAAATTACTCAAAAACAGTTAGTTCTTAATTGTTATAAAAGTATGAACACTTGTGGGATAAGAGATAATCTCAAAAACTACATATCCAGCTATATCCGGCCGGATATATGATATATCCGACCGGATATCGGTTACCAGATTATCCGGCATTTTGCCGGATTATCCGGCCGGATATCATATCCAATACACCTCTACTTTAAATGATATATAAAATTTATAAGTACTGGTATCACTTTTATTTAATACCCTTGGTAATATTCAAACAACTAAAAATACTCAAGAATTATGCATTTTAAAGGCGTTTTCAACATCAATGAAAACTTGTTACTCAAAGTACCTCAATATTGGTATTTAAAAAAAGCGGAATCAAGTGCTAATTTTGAAAAAGTTATTGTGTAAAGTAAAAAAAGAAGAGAAAAATTGATTTGAAACATTTTTAAAAAAAGATTTTTGTGAAAATAGGTTTTCTGGGGCGGAAACTATGTTATTTCGTTAAAATAATGTTTTTAACAAAAAACAATTATTTTCGAAAACAGTGCTTTAAAAAAACAACTGATGCAACAAATGAAAATAAATTCAATGTTGCATTATAAATTTCTTATTGAAAATATTTTTTGATTACATATGTTGTAAGTTGGATTGTATACTTATATACTGTTGTTATAACTTGGCCTTATCAAATAATGTTTAAAATATTATTTAGAATAAAAGTTTATTTAATTTAAAATTTGTAAAGAAAAATAAAATTTTTGTAATGAAATTATAATTTACTTATAAAATCTACATTTTATAACGAAATAATTATTAAAGCAATATTTTTAAAATTTATGTTTCAGTGTAAAAATACACTAAAGATTTTCTTTAATTGCAATGTCAATAAGTTAAAACATTTGATCTATAGTGACATTGATACTGTAATCAAAGCAAATCAAAGGTTGCAAGACAATTTCCTATAGTAGTTAAATATTCTGGAATTATTTTTTAAATTTTTTATAATGGCCATTATAAAAAAAAAATTAAATTGTAAAACCAATGAAGCAAGTTTAAGAGTTTAAATCAAATAACTGATATTACCGTGTATTATTATTATTTTTAATCTTGAGTTGTTGTTTTTGTTGTTGTTTGTTTTTTTGTTGTTTTTTTGCATAATTTTTTGTTTTGTTCGTAATGTTTGTTGTAACTTGTTTTGTTTTGATTTTCTCAGTGTTTTTCTGTTTATATTTTATTTATTTATTTGGTCATAATATTTGCAATATATTTTGATTATTATATTTTAATAACTATGATTATTTTTATATATTTACTAAATCTTTAGAATTTTTTTAGCAGTAATCGCTTTATGTCATCGTTAGTTGTTACGTTTTGTCAGTTTATTACTGTTTGTAACTGTAACTTTGTATTTAAAAATGATTGCTGTATGGAAAGTAATACCGATTTATTTAAATTATTATAATTACTTTAGTATTATTGTTATTATACAATTAATTATTTTTATTATTGTGCTATTGTTAATTTATTGCTAATTTTATTATTATTATAACTATATGTTTCTATAATATGTTTTATATCATCAAAGAGGTTTTTACTTTATATTAGTTTTTATAACTATTTGTAAACGACCAAGAAATTAGATTTTTTTTTCTCCAGAATATGATTGATTGATTGATATATATATACAAGGCCGGCGCGATAGGGGGTGTGGGGGGGTCCTTAGTCGGTAAATCGGACCATTTTAGACTAGTTAGTCGGCAAATGTCGACCCTATCGATATAGGTTAGACAGTCGGCAAATGTCGTAATGGCAGTCGGCAAATTTTGGAAAACGAAGACCTTTTTTTTTTAGTCGGCAAAAGTTGTAATGGCACCCCCCCCCCCCCCCCCACATGACACCTACTCGCGCCGGCCCTATATATATATATATATATATATATATATATATATATATATATATATATATATATATATATATATATATAATATATATATATATATATAAACACACACATTTAAGTTTTTATGAAATTTAAATGCCTTGATATTGTATAATTACTTCATGATGTGTATTTTTTTTTTATATATAAACAGAAAATAATTTGTTTTGTAAAATGTTTTTGAAAGAAACCGAAAGCACACGATAGACACGATAATGGGTAACTTTGGCGGTCTATACTGACCGTTTGGAACATTTTTAGAATGGAATCTTTTTGTTTTAGATTCTAAGATACTTAAAACGCAAGTTGGTCAGTTTATAACTTAGTCACTCTATGTGTCTATCGAAAGTTATTGAATTTGATGCCACAGATGACGGCCTAGTAGTATAACTTAAGATATTAGTAAATATTTGTTATTCAATAGGATATTTATATATTACTACATGCTTTGAATCGAATATAATGCTCATTCGCATTTTTTATTGCACACTTTGAATCGAATTTACCTAATCACATTTTTTACTTTACGCTTCAATTAAAAAACTTTAGGCAATTCGTCTTTTCAATGGAAAGACGATTCAATTGTTTATTGTAACCTAGGTTGTATTATCAATTTTTGAGGATATCAGTTGTTTGTTGTAGAAATAGATATCAATTGTTTATTGTAACCTAGGTAGTATTATCAATTTTTGAATTGTTTGAAACCATGTAATCTGCTAAACCCATTTTGTATCAAAACAGATAAAAAATAAACTTTTGAAGTGCTTTTTAAGATATATTTATATTTGTCGTAACAATTAACGTACATATAAAATTTTTTTGAGGTTCACTTGAAAATCGAAGTATCAAAACCGTTTATACAATAAACGCATTTTTCAAAATATATTGATTTAATCCATTAACAAAAGAAAATTTAGAAACAATTTTTATATAATATAAAACAAGATTTTTAAACCATGACAGTTTAAAATAAAAATCCCACGTATTTTAGGTTTCCTTGGATAACAAATTATAAAAACGTTTAAAACCAAATAATAAAATTAATTATAAAAAACGTGATTTATTTTACAATGTAGAAAAATGTTTTTTATTAAAAAAAAAAAAAGAATTTTAAAAAGAATCTAAATGAAATAGTTAACATAAAAATTGAAAAAAAGAAAATATCAAAAAGTAAACATATATATAATATATAAATAATTTAAAGTTCTATATATATAAAAAGATGAGCTCATAAATACATATAAAAGCTTTTATGTAAGAATAAACGGTCTTTCCTCAGAGAATATTGTTTTTGCAAAATACTTACATTAAATGAACATGACGCAACATGTTGTTGTTTTTTTAACTTCAATATGATAATAATATTTAAAAATAATATTTTGTTATATATTATTATTAGATAATAATATTCTAAAATTACTATCTATTATTTTTGTAAAATATTATTGTATAATAATGCTCAAATATTATAACTTATATATGATTATTATTAAATAATAATAATTTATCAAAAATTATTGAAAGGTTTTTTTAGCGTGAAGTAAGAGCTGCTTGATTTTTCTCTGCAATAATTACCTCACCTCCGGTTACAAATTCAAAGCTCCCAAATCTTGACAGATTTGATCGACTTGATGAATGACTTGGAGAACGACTCAACTGACTTAAAGCAGTAAAGCTAACTAAACTGTTCAAACTTCGTGAACGTGTTCTCAGCACTTGAATATCGCCTGTTGTAGGATCAATAAAACAATATTTTCCATAGTCTAACATGTTATGCTCTTCATCTTCAATTAAAACCTCCTTCAAATGATCAGGGTCAGTTGCCATAGTAACAGACTTTGTCATAACAGTTACAGATTGATTCAAGTTTTGAGACTCAAAGGTACTTGTTTCAGGTATAGTTTGAATAATGTATGTTTTAGGTGAATCAGTTTTTTCAGAAGGACTTTTTAATGAAACAGCAACAGTCTCACTATTTCTGCTGTCGGATTTCTCATTCACCTCCACGTTATTAATATTTATAGCGTTTGATTTTGCTCTTTGATCTTTTAACTCATTCTAAAATTACAAAACAATTAAATCATAAAACAAAATTTCTTTTATTTTGGATAAAACATTGTAAAGACTTTATTCATTGAAATTAAACTTTAAAACAATGCTGGGATGAGAGAATCACCCTTTAAGTTTAAACTCTAATGTTAAACAATAATCCCATTATCAAATGAACTGTTTAAGGGACTTCATCTATTATTAATTTACCTGAGAAGATAGCCGACATTTGTTCTCACATTTTTCATTTATTGAACGAGTAGTTAAGATATTTGTTGATTCTTTACAAGAATTCAATAGTTTGGGATCAGTAAAAAGATTTTTTTTAGTTTCTTTATTGTTTTCTCTCAATTTTAATGTTGCATCATCATCAAATTTCATATGTTTAGAAGAAGCAGTTTTCATTTGAAATTCATCTCTGCTCTTTTCTACGAGTAATAGTATTTCTTTACTCTCTTTTTCTACAGTTTTCAATATATCAATAGAATTTCGAAGCTTTCTAATATTTCTACGATACTTTCCAGGAGCTGAAAACTTTGATGTGATACCTAACTTCTCACCTTCAACCATTTCGCCTTTAACATATTCAATTACATCTACAGTATTTGCCTCCAAAAGTAAACTTTCTAAGTCCGGTAGGACTCTGCTTATTGTATTAATAAGAGTCAAACAGAGTGTTCGCATCACTTGTACTTTCATATGTATGTCACATATGTTAACTAGAACAAAAGATACCTCAATAAGTCATATTTAAAAATTCGAAAAAAGTAAAAGATGTACTAAAAAAAGTAAACAATTTACTATAAACTGTACTTATAAACTGCAATAATAAATTAAACAAAAAAGCAGAATAAAAAACATTTAAGACTTTTATAGGCTTTTTAGAATACATTTGTAAATTTAATGAAATATTTATTATGCAATGTGTTCCGTAAATGAAACCTACTTCATGCAATAAAACCTCTTAAATTTAAAAAAATATTTTCGAAATGAAAAAAAAGTAATTTAAATAGAAACGATGATCAAATCATTGTCAAAATGATTTAAAAGTATATCCAGTTATTTCAGTATAAATGATTTAAAAGTATATCCAGTTATTTCAGTATAAATGACAAAAATGTTAGATTACTAGACAGACTAAAAGTTAGAAAAATTAGATAACAAAAATCCACCTCAGACAAAAAGATAAAATAAAAAGACAAACAAGAACAACAACAAACATAAATTGAGTTAAATAAAAGCATGTTAAACATGTTGAATGAAGGTGATAACTTCTCACCTTTTTTGGTATAGTCAACGAGATTATTTCCTTCCACTATGAGACTACAATATATTTCCCAACTCTCCCAAAAATCAGCAGCTAATTCTTCAATATCATTTATAGACTTTTGGAAATCTATGATAGCAAAGTGTAACTTCTTGCAGTCGTCCATAAAAAGTAAATACGCATCAACACACTTCTTAAATATGTTATCTGCACAAGCAATGCCCAGTTCCTCCATGGTAATAACAACAACTTTATGAATTCCTAGATTGAACTCATCAAGAGGACTTGCTATTCTAACACTATCTGTATTGAACATATTTTCAACACTATTATTTAATGTTTGAAAAACTGTATTGTCTTTTTCTAAATAAATGTTTTTATCTAAGTTTGCTACAGCCACTTGAAAAGTATCTTCATCTTGAAAAGTACCTTCTTTTTGAAAAGTACCTTCTTCTTGAAAAGTACCTTCTTCTTGAAAAGTATCTTTTTCTTGAAAAGTATCTTCTTTTTGAGATACTTCCTTACTTTTTAGATTACTTTCGCAAATAACATTACTTTGATCAGTTTTATTTAAACTATTTGTAGAAGAATTTTTATCTCTATCAATGTTTGTGGAAACTTGAGGTGTTGAAAGAGTTTTATTATCAGAGATCTAAATATGCCAAAAAAGTAACATAATTCTAGCTTTTATTCACACATTTAAAATAACCTATGGAAAAATATCTATGCAGTATTGTTATACAAATACTTATAGAAATTCTATAAATGTATACAATCTGAAAAAAAAAAAAAAAAATACCTCTTTTGAAATTTCTGTTACTTGAACAGGAAGTGGACTTATCCCATCGTCTTCTGGAATGGATTGGGCTGTCAAATTATTAGTATCTCCATTGTTTTTCTTTTTTTTCTTTTCTTTTTTATTTTTTTTTGGTTTTGCTACAGGCTTAAGATGATCTTCTGAAGATAGATCCTTTGATGCCTAAATATGAACTTGTAAATAAAGAATTTGAAGGTTAAACAAAAGTAAAACAAAAATAAGACAAATTAAATAATAATAATAAAATAATAAAATAATAATATAATAATAAAACAAAGTCAACTTTATTCAGATTAGCCAAACAAATTTTATTTTCAAAAAAATACTTTATAATGCATAAAATAGCTGCTAATCATTAATACAACCCAATCTCCCATGATTGCCAGACAAAATTAAAAATAGTTTTTTTGCATTGCCATTTAAATGTTTAGACAGGTTAAAGCAGCAATAATGATCAACCAATCAAATCAATGATCAATATTTCATGCACTGTACCAATAAAAATCTTTGACATTTTTATTTCCAATATAGGTTAGCTCAAAACTGAGAACTCATTCTGAAGTAGATTTTTGTTGATTGATTAGTTTAAGTAAGGGAAGTCAGTATTTATGTGTGAAAAAAATCTATTACAACAAAAAGTCTCTGCTATAATACAACATTTAATAAACAAAATAATATAATTCTGCTATAAAACAACATTTTTTTTTTTTTAAATAACTCTTGGTCAAAGCTGAGTATATTTAAAAAAAAACATTTCTGTACTTTGACAGCTAACTTTTTTTTTTTGACAAACAACGAATCTATCTTTTAGCAAAATCACAAAAGTAACTTACATTTCTTTTTCCAACTAAACTTGCATTTGCTGACACAAAAATGTAACCAGGTCAGCGAAATTTAGAAAAAAATTGAAGACAAAATTTAAGTTAGTTGTCCTAAGCATATCTTTTTTTATTTAAGCTTAACGCCTATGATTCAAATTGATGGGTTTCCGTAATGTCATTTTCTTTTTTATAGAAAAGTTAAAGCAGTTTTTTATAATCCATTGCTTTCTTGGAATTAATCTCTTTGGTAGATTCAGGCTGAATATTTTTATTGTAATACTACTACTAGGAAGATTACCAATCCAAGGTTTACAAAGTCCTTTACTCTTACCCAAAATTAAATTGGGAGTTTTATATCAAAGTTGTCCTTCTTCTAGGTAAACTGGCTTTACCAATTTGCCTCACCTGCCCTAAATACATCAGAATAGTGTATGATGAAACGATAAATACTATACAAAGTATTTAAAAACAAATTTTACTGTTTTTTCCTTCGAAACTTATGTGTATACCAGTTATTAAATGTTTATCATAAACAAACTGTTCCTTCAGAAAATTATTCAATCAGAAAAAACCAGACAAGGGGTTCTGCACTTGTGTGGGTAGGACAGGTTTCCATAATGTTGTTTTGTTAAACTTGTTCGTTATAGACATTTTATATAAAAGCATGTTTAATATTTTTAATATTAAAAATAAAACAAAAACAAAAAAATATTACAGTACTGTTACAAAACGATATCAACAAAACATTTTTTTATTAACTAAAAAATGTAGATGTAAATGTAGAAAATGTAGATTAGTTCCAATATTGAGTAATAGATAGAATCAAATTACTCAATATTGAGTAATAGATAGAAAATCAGTACAGTACTATTCTATTATACAGCTACTTACAATAACTATTTCATAAACATTTAAAATAAAATGTATTTACTATCATTACAAACAAGGTGAATATAGTCCTATCGTACATCAATATCAACTTTATGCAATTGTTGTATAACTTAACTTCTTTTTGAGAGCCAGGTTTACATTTTAAAGAAACATTTTTATATATAATAGGGCTGGTCAAATGTTTAAGAGTTATGTAACACCTCTGAAAATATATTTTTAAAGCTTACTTTTTCATATTAGTATTATTTCATTGTATATATAAATGAATGTAATAAATAAATGTAGAGTGAGAAGACAATAAAAAATGTTGTTTTAAGCACCATCATAACAGTGTGTGTGTGTGTGTGTGTGTGTGTGTGTGTGTGTGTGTGTGTGTGTGTGTGTGTGTGTGTGTGTGTGTGTGTGTGTGTGTGTGTGTGTGTGTGTGTGTGTGTGATACAATGGTATATTTTATTAGTATATATTTATAACTATATATTGCAATATATTTATTATAATACAACAATATTATAATAGTTTGATATTTACAATTTATGTTATATAATAAAGGAGAATTCATATAATACTAAAGGAAAAATTTTACCTCTGCACCACACATGTTTCCAAAAGTTTTACGCAAAGTATTACCCATTGTATTATTGTCTCAAATTTTATACCGCGTTAAGTTTTTGTATTGATTAAAATTATACAAAGGCCTAAATGCTGAGAGACGGTGTGTAACGGAATTGTTTATATAAATGTCGCCAGAAAAAAAAAAGACAGAATTAATTTTATAACGCGGCCGGAGCGGGTCCAACATAATCACACCTTTTTCGGCACTTTTTAAAATTTAGCGCTAATGTTAGCAGTGATATTAATTCTTTAATCGATGATTTCCTCAGCTTTTAAACTTACTATTTTTTAAAAATTCTGTAAAATTGAATAATTTTGGTCACTTAAAAACAATAATATCTCAGGCCTAACTAAGCTTTTTTCAACTGTTAAAAAGTTCTTAAAATATACAGACAGTTATGCCTATATTAATTTATACTGTAAAAATATAAACAAAATGAAAGACTAATGTTCGATATTTTATCTAAAATGAGTACATCTAGTTTGACTAAACTTTTAGTACTATCTCATAAGTTCAGTCGCCTAATAAATATTATTTATTGTCAAAAAAAATACTTTTAGAAAAAAAAAATTATTCATTAAATTTTATTATTAAAAAATTTATTATAAACAAAAAGCATTCAAAAAGAATTTTTTTTTTCAACAAATAACGCTTAAAAAAAAGCAACACTATTTTTATTATCAATTTTGTTGTTTTTTCCTTGCTAATTGTCGCTTTTGTCGCTTAGTAACGACAGCGCGCATTATCAAACAAAAAGTAGTTAGTAATCAAACATCAATTTTTTGTTGTTGCTGTTTTACTTTTGTTTTTTTGTTACAAGTATGACAGTAAAATAAAGAAAATTTCATATATTTTTGATGGAAAACATTGATAAAACATTGTACCGTGATGGGCAAAACTGTCAATCACGATACAATAATATTTTGAATCTGTGTTCGTTTTTTCAAAATGATTCATAATGATTTCATAATAATTCACCTGCATGACCTTGTATTTTTATATACCAATTAGTATTTTAAAACACAAACTATATATACAGTTCCTTTTTCACCCACCGTTTAGTTTTTTTGTTGAGTTGTTACAGAAAAAACCCATTTGACCCAATTTGCCATTTTGTCCCGTCTTCTCCTTAAGAGTTTTGTTTTCTACTATGTAAATAAAAATAATAATAATAACAGCAATAATATTAGTAATAATAATAATAGTAATGAGTTATGTAAAACATTGATTTTTTAAAATTAGTTTTACAAGAAGCTATTTTTGACCGGATTTGTATTTTTTATAATTTTTTTTTCAACGTAAATCAACTGTGATATTAATCATTGAAAAAAAAAATAAAAAAAAAACGTTCTAAATCATCTAATAAACAATAAAGTAATATAATTAAAAATTCTATCTATTACTCAAATTAAAAAATCTATCTATTACTCAATATTGGAACTAATCTACATTTTCTACATTTACATCTACATTTTTTAGTTAATAAAAAAATGTTTTGTTGATATCGTTTTGTGCAAAATTTCATAAAGAAATCTTAACATTTTAAGGTAGCTTAAAACCTTCAAAGTTTTTTCATTATTAGAACTTTCTGCGCCTGTGACTGTTATTGGCATATTATTCACTTGTTTCCTAAAACTAAACAATTAATTTCTAAAATAGTTTTTATAACAAACAAACAAAAGTTGATTCTACGAATGATATTTTGAAAATCTTGATTTGTTATAATAATTTTATAGGCTAATTATAAAGTAAGGTGGATGATTTTGTCTTTTCTTGCAGAGCATATTGTAGCTATTCTTTGCTCTTGAAGCCAAATTTTGCTGCATTGATTAGGAAAACCCTTCATTTTGCATGTCCATTGATTAATGCCTGGATTATTAGGATAACTTCTGCAGCCTCAAACTTTTCTATGCTGTTTCATGATTCAGGATCTACAAGCTCAAACTTTTTTATACTGTTTTATGATTCAGGATCTACAAGCTTGAATCTATCGGCTTCTCTTTGAAAAAAAGTCAAGAAATGTGTTTTGTTTTATTGTTGCCAAATCCTCCTGAGCTCGTTGAACTAATATAAAGTGGTATAATATATCATATACTACATAGTGAACCATTGATTTGTATGTAAATTAATGTGTTTTAGTTTATACTGGAATATTTCAAATATTTAAAAACTTTGTTTCTCCTCTATTGGTGTGACAAGAATGAATAACCTGTCCACTTTCAGTGTACTGGTTAGATCAAGCATTAGCTTGCTATCCCAAACTGATGCTTGATGTAACCAAGCTGATGCTTCATGTAACCTTATTCCGAAATCTTAAATGATTTTACAAACCGTTTCTTCTTAGTATTTTTAACGGAGACGGTGGATGGTTGATCTGTTAAGGACAAGTTTTTCAGCATTGTGTCCTAGAGCCCTCAAAGTCTCAAAAGCAACCATCATGGTAGTTCTATTGCTTTATCTGTTTTGACCAAGTACTGCTTATAACTGAGGTAATATAACACTTTTGGCGTCTTTTTTTCCGTGGTAGAGGAATAAACATACTTGTGGATGGTTAAAAATTGTGATGTTCAGTTTCTGTTTTATCTCAAAAAAATGCCACAATTGTAGCTTTAAACTTTAATTTTCATTTGCAACTTGAGTCTTTGTCTTCAATTCTTATTTTTCTAAAGATTCTTCTACTTGCAGAATTATTGCTTTAGCTCCTTGATCTTGTCAATCCTTTTTTGAAATTTAAGCTCAAAACCAGAAATCATTAACTACCTCAATGCTATTATTTGCTATTTTATGAAATCCACTTTTAAAATATTGTGTACATTCAGAATGAGAATAAGCACCTGCTTTCCTGATGCAATTTACTTTCTTCAATCCCATCAGCAGGACTTACAAAATATATTTGTAAATGCAATGCAATCTAAATATGTTAAATATGACAAAAATAAGAATGTAAGCGACTGAGATGAGAAATTTTAATGATAAACTTGCTGAGAAAGATGATAGCTATCATTTTTACAATTTTTTTACATTTATTTTTACAAAAATGATATAATTAATTTAAATTATTGATTGAAACATTATTAGTTTATCTAAATTTATTTGATATTGTAATAATCAATGTTTTATAAGCATTTTGCATTAGTTTAGATTTTTTCGTATTTCTAGATTTTTCCATAACTAAAATTTAGTCGAGCTACCTCTAAATATTGTTCAATCCTGCTCATATTTGGCGTGAACTATTTTTAATTATATTGAAGCATAATTAAGGGTTCATCGAATGAAAACTTTAAACCTCAAGAATAAAGATCAGTCAGTTGTAGATTATGAACCATTTTTAGTTGTAGATTATGAACCGTTTTTAATTACATTTTTTCATAGTATTTTTTGGATTTCTTATATAAATTTCTTTTAAAATCTTGTTTATAATGATTTTTTGTTGTTTAAAACTACCTTGTTGTTTGTGCATCTAATATGAATTGAAAGAATGCTGTCGTTTTTTTCTTACACATTCTTGTAACTGCAAAAACTATTTTTGTTCTACCAAATTTCATAGTAAAATGCTTGTCTAGCTTTACTAACTTACAATAAATATTTAACTATTATTGAGGTTTTGAGTAACTATTATTGAGGTTTTGCTCATCGGTTATTTAATGGCCCATTAGTAGCATTCACCAAAAGTGGTCAGCCGCTTTTGGTGAATGCTACTAATTTAACTTTTCAACATGTAATATAGTGGCTAGTCATCAGCTAATCACTTTTGGTGGCTACCATAAGTGGTCCACTTTGTAACCGATGAGTAAAACCACAGCAGACCAGTCAAAATACCTGTATAAGTCCACTGAAGTTCCGCTATAAAACATTTGCTGGATACGTTATCGTTAGTTTCATCAGGTCCAACTAATTTGCTTTTTTTTTTTTTGGAGTTCCTCCTATGTTCATACTATGCCATGAGACATCATCTATACGTAAAAACAAATGTGATATCTATACAGTAACACATGTATCTTAAAGGTATATTTATCTAGCTAATAACATAGACTACATAAAGACCACTCGTAAAACGAATAACTCTTCTCCACTTTAGACACTTTTGAGTCAACATTAATAGTTGAATTATTTAATTAATAGTTGAATATTTTTTTGTAACGATTCCTAATTCCTTTACATTTCTTAAAATTGAAATATTTTTAAATTTTGTACCATATTTTCGTCTCCTAAAAATTTAAATAAAAAAGACCCTTAATTTATATGATATTTTTAGGACTTTCAGATTATGGTCGGCGGGGGGGGAGGAAGGATGCATACTCCATCCCTCCGGATCCGTTTTTGTGCGAAAGAGCCTCAAAAAAGTAGAAATGAACTCACAGTCCTTTATTTTTCTAATGAGTTTACTGAAAATAATGTTGACACGAGTTTAACGTAAACAAAACTTTAGAAACCTTTTTTAATGGTAAAAGTGTAAAGAAAGTTAACAGAAATAATGTTGACAATATGTCTAGTTTCGAATGCCTCGTCAAAAATTAATCTAACCACTTATTGGTATTTCAAGTAAGTAATGATCCAGAAACTCGGAAGACACATTTTCAGAGTGTCTATTTAGCTGCAATTGGTTCACTTTGTAGGTCATTAAAACTACCACGTGATGAACGTGATAATTGCCGTTTACCTACCACAATTTTTCAAAAAAACTCAATTAAATGCAGAAAATGTGAAGCAGGATTAGCTTCTGTGAAGTAAAAAAAGCCATATTTTGTTGTATCTATTGTTTTTGTTTTTTTTTTGTTGAGAGAAAGTGAATATGTTTTGTCAGGTTTTTGTAGAAGTGGTGTCGGAAATAACTGGAGAAAACTTTACAACAAGTTTATTAACCACATAGGCAACTAAAAACACTTAAAAGAATATTTATTATGGAAAGACTTAGTGAAAGCATAGAAAAGATATTAAAAAACACTTTTGTCTTAACACAGAAAGAAAAAAATGGAAAAAAAGCCTTCGTATAATAGCAGATATTACAATTTTTTTTGTAGAAAACAATTTGCCATTTAGAGGAACCAACTTTAATACTAACAATTGATCAGGATGATTGTGGACTTTTTCTTTCTGTTGCAAAGTTGATACAAAGTTAATGCCAAGTCACTACAACGAAACGTTAAAAA